CCATCTAAGATACGTCGACCTGATTTTCTTAAAACTTTAGATCACCCAACTGGATTAGAACTTGACATTTATTACCCACAATATGGATTTGCAACCGAAGTACAAGGAGAACAACACGAAAGATATATAAAATTCTTTCATAGAGGCGATCCCAATAATTTTATCAAACAACAGGCACGGGATCAACTCAAGAAAGAATTATGCGAAAAGAACCAGATTGCACTAAGGTATGTTTGGTATTACGAAGACCCATATATAGTTATTCCAGAACATCTTCGTGAATTGAGTCTCATTGAATAAACTCAAAACTTTAATTTCATTTGTGCGATTCACTTTTATTTTTTTAACTTGATCTAAGCAAGACGGAGGATGATCTTCTTGCAATTCGGCTAAGATTTAATACACATTGAACCTGCGGAAGAAAATAGAAGCACAGTAATACAAAAACGCCCAGCTAATTCATAATTTGCCAAGAAACTTTTATTATTCAATGCACAATGCAATAGAGTATCATCACATCACCCGCATGTAGTATACACAAGTCAAAAGATTATATGTATATACAGTAAATAAAAAAAATTACACGTGAATCATTTTTGCCGAGAAAAAACATGAGATTAATTACGCATATTTTTTTACTACTTTCCGATATAACCAACAAATAACTTCATTATTATTATTTAACACATGCTATACTCTGGCTAGATAATATGAGATTTTATATTAATTTCGGGGAGAAGATAATTCAGAATGCCTTTTAATTATCTTTTGGAATCAAAACGTCCATACCACATCGGACAGTCCCTGTGACAGTTTCGTGTCTTATTCACAAGTTCATTAAATTTTGGTGTACCGAGGGTATTACGTTTGAAGATTGTCTTTGGCGATGGTGGGCTTGGATTACAAAGCTTACTGTATAAAGTATCAAATGACTTGCAAAAAATCTCTCGCACTTTTAAAAGAGTTTCTACTTCATTGACAAATAAATTCATTTCTTTGATAGAAGAAGGAATGTACACTTGGCCGATATGGGTCATCATATACATTCCATGGATGAGGTCCATCACATAGAAATCCATCTTGTACTCTATATAGACGAAAAGTTTTAAAATTAATGATAAGGAAGAAGCAAAATTAAAAAATATTAAAATTTACCCTACCGACACACTGAAAACCTAAGACCTTCAAGTCCGCACCCTTTTCTATGCCTACATCTAAACAATCTTTCATGAAAACGCCAATGCGAATTAGATCCTTACAATTTTTGTATACATTGTTCTTTTCCGAAGGTGGGCTTACTTCGCCCACAAATATGACACCGCATATCTGTAATTGATGAATCACAGATACTACGAAGTCCGGTTGTTTAGCTCTTCCTCCCGACTTCCTCGCCTTGCTTTCATCAAGACCCGTATTGGGCCATTCGATAATGTGCCTGTTTGGGTCATGCAACATCCCCCTCATTATGCGATCTAAGTAGTTTGTTACCAATGTCATTTCACTAGGATCATTTTTGATTTTCGTAAAAGGTAATGTCCTTAAACAGTCCAGGATTATAAAGCCCATATTATCCTTCAAATGTTTATTGTTGGAAAGTTCAGCCATCAACCAATCCGTAGCATGACTAAACGATTCTTTTGTTACTCGCTTTATTGCGTCCCTGAACTTTGCTTCACATTCTGCATCCAATGCAGTTTGCTGTGTCGGAATAATTCGTTGGTGAATCTTATCTAATAGTGGAGAACCAAATATATCGATCATCTTTCTTGAGTGAGAATCAGGGTTAAGCAAGAAAATCGATGAAAGTGAAAGTATCTCATGGATATTTGACTCGACAAATAAACCTTCTGTTTTTGAAATATTTACAGAATTATTCTGATACTTCCGGAACAATTGAGACACATTGATCTCTTCTATCTTATAATCATCAGCTGGGTCTCCGTCCATAAAGTACAGATCATCAACATCGTCTATTACCAAGATGTCATCTACCTCATCTTTCTCTATAAATGGATTGTTGATACGATCGACGAGCATAGGAGGCTCTACCAGTGAATAGTTTAATGCTGGGCTATGTGCTCTTTCTTTTCTACTTACAGACTTTTTCTTTTTTTCCCTATTACTTTCATCACCTTCTAACGCATGTTTTAGTGTTTTTATTGCATTATTAGTTGCCACAGTACGTATTTGATGCGTTTCATTGTTGGTATCATTCAACACACGTTTGGTATAGTCCAACTATTTCATATAGTCAGTCAGTTCCTTGATAAAATGTATAAGACTTCGTGGATGGTATAGTTTGACAAACCTGTATATTCTCAATTTCATGTTTAGAGCGTTCCTTATCGATCAATAACCAGAAATTTTTTACAGCTTCGGAGGATTTCTCATCCTTTTTATAGAAAATAAAACAGACATTAGTAAAAGAATTAAACACCATTTTTTGAACCACTCTACCAAAATAATAGGATCTACTAATGACAAAGCAACGTCCAAATAAAGATTACTATTAATTTGCTTGATCTTGAAATGGTTTTTAATATTATTTATCCATTTGTCTGGATGAATATAAAAAAAAAAAACAAGATTAAGGAGGACCATAACACGGGACAAAGGCTAACAACCAATGGGACGAAGGCATCTGGTTGCGTTATGGCAGACGAAGGCTAACAACCAATGGGACGAAGGCATCTGGTTGTAACAGTCTATTCAAGGACACCCGAGGGAAGACGAAGTTCACTTTCACCAGCCAGGGCGAGGGTGGCTAGCTACTCGGGGTTTGTCAACATGTCACATTGTTTTGGGACTGGAACATATTCTAGCCCTTGAACCCACCTCATCTCAATTTACAAACATATTCTGCAAATTATACTTACTTCAAAATTGAGAAGACTTGTTTCAGCTTGATCATCGGAAAGCGCTTTCAAAGCCGACCTGTACAACCTATGTTCCTGTCTTTTAGAGTACGTAAAATCGTCAACCTCTTTTCTGTATTGAAGAAACCTGATTAGCGACCAAGTCACAGTAGTCTTGAAGAACCCTTCGATTACTACTGTTATTTGTGATTCTGTTGGTTCACTTGACATTTCTTCTGTTGAGTAGACTGCAAACATGTTTTGTACTGTATTTATAAATTGGTGCGTTGATTACGTAATCGATCGCGTAGTGATAATACGATTTTTATTATTGGTTAGGACGATTACACCGCAGTATATTAATGTATTAATCATCATACCTCTTGTAAAGTAATGCAGCTAATCGGCTATGTATCAATGGTCATTAATAGTTACCTCCGAAAGGGTGAATTTATGTATTTGACCTGAGGATGATCCTCTTGCAATCCGCCTAAGGTTTGACACTCCACTAAATCTGCTGAAGGAGATAGAGGCTAGGCAGAAGCGCAAGGAAAAAAGCACCTCAGCTAATGAGTAGAATCTGACTTAATAGATACCAGCTTTTTTTTTCGTAATTATAAAAAATTGGAATGGGAGAGCGCCAAGCTGAAAGACCGGTTATTTATATTGATCCTCAAAAAGCGTGAGAGTTAGACCAAATCATAGCAAAACAAACACCTACGATTAATATCGATCCTCAAAAAGCTCATAATTTAGACCAGCATCTTGCCTTGCAAAAACTATATTATCGTCCTGAAGGTCTGTATCAAAATGTTAAGGGATTGTGGGATGCTTGTAAAAAAGCCGGCTACAGCTTTCCATTTATTGATGTAAAAAAATGGCTTGAGGGTCAAGCAATGTATCAAATTTTTCGTCCTTCACCAAAGCATATACCTTATGCCAGTTACTCTAAAATCACGAAGCCAAATACTGTGCACCAATGTGATTTAATCGAAATACCATATGATGAAGATGTAGATACAAATTTACTAGATGATGGTCCAATCTTTTACTATGTATTGTTGGTTATAGATTGCGCAACTAGATATAAAGATTTCATTTTTTTAACATCAAAAAGTAGTGCAGAAGTCGCAGAAGCTTTTAAGAGTATATATGATAATCCTGACAATTCCCTTAACTGGCCTCGAAAACTACAATGCGATAAGGGCACTGAGTTTATGGGATACGTGACTTTATTAATGGATGAGCATGGCGTTGAAATCCGAAGAATTATAGCACGTTTCAGACATACAAGCTTGGCTATGGTCGATCGTTATGCTGGATTATTCGAATATAGAGTTTTTAAAAATCAGTATTCGGTAGAGTTTCTCTTACCTACCGGCGAACGTTGCAGGGAATGTGAACAATTTGCGAGAAGAATTGTTGATAACATAAATGATAGCCTAACTCGATTAATTGGAATGAGACCTAATGACGCTATGAAATTTGAGCGGGTATATTCCAAACCATTAGTAAAATATAATCGCCCAATAGGCATTGATGAACCTCAACTACCAAAGGATACTACTGTCCGATTCTTACTTGCTAAGGGAGAATGGGAAAATGATCCTTTCGAACGACGCAGGATAACAGATCCGATATGGTCCCCTAGCCTACATAAAATCCAAAGAATTATTGTTGGAAAGAATCCTCCGATGCCTGTTTTATATTATTTAGATGAATCAGGGCCTCAACGCCCTTTCGTGAGAGAACAATTGATGCATATTAAGGAAGAGCCCATGTTACCTCCTAGGTGGGTATTGGGAGATAACCGAATGCGTACAAGGCGCTCCTTATAAAAGTTTTTAAGTCAACG